AGACACTTTTTTTTGTGGAAGGGTGCTTTTTATTTCACGTCTTTTGAACCGAAGGAATGCAACACCCGCTGAGTACAACGATAAAAGATCAAAGATCAAAGACAATTTTTAATATAACTCCGACTGGATTCGTCTGAAAGAAAAAAGTCATTAGGATGCTTAGCTGTAAACAATTCACCAAATTGCAGCTTTATGCTCAAGGCTGCTTTTATTTGATCAAACATACAGCAAAAACAGTAATATTGTGAAATATTCACACAATTTAATTGTAATTTATTCATATTATATATTTTAAAATGTAATTTACTCTTGTCATGACAAAGCTGAATTTTCAGCATCATTACTCCAGTCCTCAGTGTCACATGATCCATCAGAAATTATTCTAATATTCTGATTTGGTTCTCAAGAAACTATTCTTATTATTTTTATTATTATTATTATTATTATTACTATTATTATGACTGTTGAAAACCGTTATGCTGCTTAATATCTTTTTTTTCAGGGTTCTTTAACCCTCTACCGCACGCATTATGATAGACCTATAGAAAAAAATATTTGAATCTTTTTCTTTTCTAAGAATGGCTTAACTTGAAGTGCTGTAAAAAAAAAATTGGAAAAAAAAATATTATTTTAAGGTACTTTATGATATGTTGCCATACGGCAACAGCATACAATAGTGGATCTAACTTAGAATAAGTGTAAGCTTACTTATAATTAATATTTTTCCTCAGAAATGTTGTTTGTGTTGATTCAATTGGTGCTATTATAAGCTTTATCACAGTACTTACTTATAATTGACACCTTATACATACTTTCCAACAACTTGTGCTTTTATTTATTCTATTATTTTTTTTTGCTGAATAATGATTTATAATTGTTTTAATTTCATTTTTCATGAATATTATTTAAACTGCAAATGTATACAGTTAAAACAAATATAATACTGTATGTAATGTATCATAAAACACTGACATAAAACCAAAAACATTGCAGTTCATGAAAATTCAGCATTATGCAATCTCTTGAGAGGAAGACTATGAACATGACTATGAACATGAGCCCCCTCCCCTCCCAATAATCCTTGAAAGACCACCTTTTTTATGTATGAAACTTCACAAAGCAGTTTTTTCTTTCCAACAAAAAAAACGAGAATGTTCTCTTAAAGAGACAGTGGCAAGGAAATGAACACAAAGAGTATGTTGCCATATGGCTACACCATGCGGTAGAGAAAACTTTTGTAACATTAGAAATGTCTGAATAAAAGTATTAATTTATTTAAAAATATATATATATCATACTGACTTCAGACTTTTAATGGGTATATATCAACCAACCTGCTCTGGAAATTAAAAAAAGTATTAATTTATTTCAATAAACTTTTAAATGGTAGTGTAAATATATTGTTCTATATATAGCTAATTTTTTGTGTAGTTTGTGTAAATATTGTAACTATAGCTATAACTATATCTATATATTCTTGGAATTTACAATGCTTTATTCTCATTTTCCCTCATTTTCCATTTCAAAGTGCTTTTTCCATGCCATCAAAGCCAAAACTTCCATTAAATATGGAATCCAAACATACTCTGGTCTGTTTTCGAGCTCACTGGGTCCAGGTGTCAGACTCCGCCGTGAGAGCAAGAAGCTGTCAGAGCCGTTAAATGCTCAGAGATTGAGTGTGCTGTTTACTGCTGTTAACTGCACTTAACTATGCAAGTCTTTGACCGGCAGTGAAGTGAGGGAAACTGACATGTTTCCGTGGGTGCAGTCGTTGCTATGGAAACCCTATTGACGGCTCAGTACAGTAAATCAGGTGAGCATTCACAGTGTCAACAATCCCACAATGCTTTAGCAGGGGCACATCTGTATCAAATGAATTAAAACGCTTCAAGTTATATGTTGAGACATTTGGCAGTTTGACAGTATTATATGACATTCACAGAAGTGTTTCATTGTCTTTTTATTTTCATTTTCCATACAGAAGCTTCTTATTCAGTGACATGTTACAAACTAAAGTGGAAACTGGGCAGCTTTACCCAGTCAGACGTGTCTCAGCCAGAGCTCTATTTGTCAGGACACCCAAGACCCACAGTGACAAGGCCTGCCTGTGTCCTGAGATTTATTATTGACAAAGCATTAAGTGCTGCGACTTCAGCTCCTTCTTTGGAATCAGAAAACCTTCTTCTGTAGATACTGTGCAATCGCCATGGGCAGAGATGAACAAGATGCTCAGCGCTTCAGAAAAAGTCCATATTGATTTTTAGTGGTGTTTGTTAATGCTAAAGCATGCATCACTATTATTATTGCTCATAGGTTCAATAGGCTAGGTTATTTTTTCCAGGGCTTATCAAAGCTGTCAGATATTGAACTTTGACAATATTCATCTGGCAGACAATAAAATGGAAAAAAAAATCCTATAGACTTTAAGGAGGCATATCTAGATAGTAGAATATCTTGGCAGTAGGGGCACTTTTGACATGAGCAAGTAAGCAGCCACCTAGCAACCATCCAGAGCATCCTAGCAACTGTTTAACAATGCTCTGGTAATCACCTAGAACACTGTAGCAACCTCTTAGCAGTGCTTTGGTAATCACTTAGAGCACCCTAGCAACCACCAACAATGCCTTGTCAACCATTTAGAATAATCACTTAGCAGTGCTCTGGAAATCATCTACAGTAGATCACCCTAGCAATTGCTTAGCAATGCCTTGGCAACCATCAAGAACATGTCAGCAATACTCTGGAAACTACATAGAACACCCTAGCAACTGCTTAGCAATTCCTTGGCAACTATTCAAAACATGCTAGCAACCGCTTTGCAATGTTTCAGCAACCACTTGAGAATACCATCCAGAACACCCTAGCTATTGGATAGCAATGCCCTGGAAACTACTTGGAACACCCTAGTAACCTCTTGGCAACCATCAGATCACCTTAGCAACTGCTTAGCAATGTTTTGGCAACCACCCAGAACACTTTTGCAGCTGTTTGGCAACGAGTCCGGCAGCCACCCAAAACATCCTAGCAAGGGCTTAGCAGTTCTTTTGCAACCATCCAGAACACCATAGCAACTACTTAGCAATGCTTTGGCAACCACCCAGAACACATGTGCAACCATTTAGCAATGTTCTGTACACATCTACAGTAGATTACCCTAGCAATTGCATAGCGATGCCCTGGCAACCACCTAGAACACCCTAGCAACTGCTTGGCAACCATCCAGAACACTTTAGTAACCACTTAGCAATACCTTGGCAACCACCCAGAACACCTTTACAACCGTTTAGCAACATTCTGGAAACATCTACAGTAGAACACCCCACCAGCCGCTTAGCAATGACATGGCAACCATCCAGAACATGCTAGAAACCGCCTAGAAAATGCTCTGGCAACCACCTAGAACACCTTAGCAACCGCTTTGCAATGCCTTGGTAACCACTTAGAACACCCTAACAACCATTTATTTATTTTTTTACCAAAAAAGGTAAAATTTTTAGTTTATATTTAATCTGAATGGATAATTGGCATGTTTAAAGCTGATGTATACATTAAGTGCATTCATTCGGCACTTCTTAGTTTGATAACGTAAGTGTTATGAACTTGACTGCACTTCACGGAAGTGTGTGTGTTTTAGTATGAGTGAGCGTGACGTGGAGTTCAGTCCGCTCTTATCAGTGACATGTCACAGGACCATCTGTTTATTGTCATCAGATACTTATCTTCCCCTGGCACCTCGGCTTGCTCCTGGAGGGAATGCAGTTTGGGAAAGAGAGCTCGCCCACCCTCATTGGCCCCCCTCCCCTTCCCCAAATGCCCCCCAACCCCCCTCCCCCCCTCC